CAGTGTTATTAATATGAGATTGTTTTTAAAGGTGTACATATCTGTGTGTGTTCTCTTTGCCCTGTTTCCCCCAAGAATGGATTAAAGACCTGGCCTCTTAGGGTGTTCACCAATGCTCACAGTGGGAGAGAAATGTACAAATGGTGTAACAGTGGTCATTAATGTTCAACTACTGTTTGAATCTTCAATGCTGTTCATTAATACTCAATTTTTCCTTTCAGGGACATGGTGTTTCCCTGCCTCATTGAAGTTGGGCATGACATATGACAAGTTTTGTCTAAGAAATGTGAATGGAAATCAGTTTCATATCTGGGCAGAGGCCCTTAAGAGCCAGAACATGAGTTTCCCTTGTCACACACCTGTGACACAGCAGCAAATGACATGCCAGTAGGTGGAGGCTGGTTCCATCAGCCCAGTTTCCTGAGTCCTGAAGTCCAACTTGGAGCAAGACGTACCATTAAAAAACACACAGTCTGTGGTAGTAGATACACAAACCTACACGGGGATCCAATTGTACAGAACTTAGTACACACAGATACATACATGCAAATGAATGTAAGTAAAACTGAGGAACTCATGAGTAACTGAAGTAACTAAAAACTCTTGAATGTCACTATCCTCACAGTGATACACTATAGCTTTGCAAAACCCCACCACATACATGCAATCTCTATTATTTCTTACAGCTGCATGTGAATCTACAATTAGCTACCAAAAAAAAAATGACAGAATTATTCCTTTTTCAGTTATTTCCCAATCTTTCAGATTACCTTAAGGAGAAATTCTAAATATGAGAGCAGTGTATCTTTTACATTTCTTACATATCTTTTACATGTCTCTGACTCTTGCAAATACCCCTTTTGAACAAAGAAGGAACAGGCCTCATTCTCAAAGCTTTCAGCAGACAGTAAATATCTATCTAAAATTCAATAATGCTGATTATCACTATGCTTTATTTTCAGTTATTTTCTATATATGTCTAGAGAAACTCTTTACCTCCTTATAATGGTGATACAAAGTTTTCTTTTTAAATAGTTAAAAAATTTTCTTTTAAATCTCCTCTTGTGTAAATAGTAGTGTTTGTGGCATGGGCTATGTCAAAAGTAATGAAGGTGGTATGCAAACAATGGAAAAAAGGGCAAAATTTTTTTGAAAATTTAGTGCTGGTTGAAGAAGCTCCATGTCTTATAATACAAATATGAAATATGTTCTGGGTAGCAAATTTCTTAATGACATTATTTCTTCAAGTGTAATACACATAGAGGAAAGTATTCAAATTATAAATTACAACTGAATAAAATTCTCCCCAAATGGATCTACAAGTGCCATACAATCCAGTCAAGATTATAGCAGAGTTTTTTGCAAAGATTGACAAGCTGATTTTAAATTTTATATGGAAACTCAAGAGACCAAATAGCCAACACAATCCAGGAGAGGAAGAAGGGTGGGGGGCTCACACTACCAGATTTATCAGGTCCTATTATGTAAGTATCGTAATTAAAACAATGTGGTATTGGCATAAAGACAGGCAAACAGATCAATGGGTAAGGACATGGCCTGGAAAGAGACCATAAATATGCAGTCATCTGATGTATGACAGAGGTGACACAAGAGCAGTGAGCAAAGGGTGGTACATGGTCATGCTCTGCTCTCTGATCATCAGCCTCCTCTGTGGGGCCTGCATTTCCACACACGCGAGTCATCCACAGAGCTCCGTGGGACCTTTCCGTAGCTCAGAACCATAGGAGAGCTCAGACGGAGGCTTGCGCTCTTCCTACCTCTTAGTGCCTGCTGAGGGTACACCCTGAATCCTCGTAAGGCCTCCCCCTTCCCTGGCCAGCCCTCCTGGGTAAGGAGCCAACAAGAAGCATGTGGTCTCCGGCCTCCCACGTTGGCCACAGTGATCCTGACCTGGTATTCATCTTTTCTGGTCTCCTCCCACACCGAATCAGAGCTGATTATGCTGAGTAGAATTCTGTAAAGGTGGTGATGTATGACTACTGAGGCTTGGTCATACCAGACATTACAGCTCCTACTTGGTCCTTCGGATTGTTTTCTCGGGGAAGTCAGCTGCCATGTCATGAAAGCATCCAGAAACCCTATGCACAGGGCTGTATGCACAGGATCTCATTTGTCAGTGGCTAATACAGTGGTTCAAGGCCCCGAGGACTCTGGGAGACTCCTGCACATTAGCCTCATCCACGCAGGTCTGCAGGCAGCTTCCCTGCAGCCTCCTCTTGGCCTTACGTCCCTCTCCTTTCCCTGTCCAGGAAGCCAGAGGGCAGGATCAACACATCTGCTGCCTAACTGGAGATTCCACTAGGAAATGAGATGCTCACCAATCCTGCTGGGAGCTCCCCACCCCAGCTGTAAGAGTGAGTCTCATGGAAACCCTGCCCCTTGGTGATGATTCCCTCTCTCACCCCTTCCTGTGCTTTTGCTCATCTGGGGGTGGGGGCAGGAGGAAGAGTGAGTGTGGTAGGGCCAGCTTCTCCCCTTCTCTGTGCGCTCTGGAGGCAGGGCTGTTCTTCCCTGGCCTTAACAGATGTCCTTGATCATCCGTAAGTGCGAGGTCCTCACTGCTCTGTCTCACTGGGAATCTCGGTTGTCATTGTCAACACCAGGAAAATAGGAAAAGGCCCTTTCGATATCTGGATCAAAGGCATTCACAGCCTATCATGACCTGATCTTTCTGCTTGGGTTTCCCTGCTGCTCTTCCTTCTTTCCCCCTAACTCTGTTCTCTAGGAACTCTGAACCATCAGCTCTCTCTTTTCTTCAGACCTTTGCACATGGTTGTCCCTCTGCTGGTAGTAACCTTTTTCCTTTGCCCTGCAGATTCTTCCTTCATGAGTCACCTCAGCACTGCTTCTTCTGGGAAGCCTTTCTTGACTAGTCTGTCTCCCAGGCTCCATGAGGTACCTGTCCTGGGCCACCCTAGCTCCTTTGCTTCCTTTATCTAGCACTGATAATGCTGTATTTGTGACAGAGGCAGAAAGCTGCCCACCAAAGCTTATACTTCTCCCATGCCTAACAGCTGTTGCTGGAAGGCAGCTGTCTAACTCTGGCCACGCCCACCTCCTCTTGCATCCTAGGTAAGCAGTATGACTAGCTCTTGCCAAAGTAATGTGAGCAGAAGTGACATGAGTCACTTCCACACCAAGGCATTTAAGAAACAATGTGCCATCCCCACAAAGTTCATCCCCTGCTACCAGTTGTATTTAGACAGTAAGACCCTTGGGAATGGTGCCACCACAAGGTGGAAAGAGTCCAGTACCACAAGTCAGTGTATGTAGAAAAGTCACCTGCTCTGATTTTGTCTGAGCCCTAATTCATTTGGGGGCCTGTTTGTTACAGCAGCTTGTGTTAGCTTACCTGATACAGTAATTGTAATGGTGTGTTTACTCATACATCCTTGCTAGACTTGTCTTGAAAGAAAAGTGGGAGTTCTCTATATGAAAGGAAATGAGTAGGGAAACAGGAGAGCAATGAATTTATCTGCCATTCAATAAATATTCCCTGAGTAGCTGTTATGTCTCAGGCACTGTTCCAGACATTGGAACTACAGCAGCAGATCAGACAGGAAATGTCCCTGCTCTCATGAAGCTCATGTTCTAGGGGGAGGAACAGGGAACAAGTAAATGAAACCGGAGGATCATTTCTGAGAGGGGTGATAAGAAGGAACTATTACAATGTGACAAGGTTATGTGATAAAGAGTAACTGGGAGGTATATTAGGCAGCATGACCTGGGAGGGCCTCCCAGTAGTGTCACTGGAGTTAAGACTCAAATGGTAAGAAGGATCCAGCCATGTTAAGATCTTTGGAATGGGGAGAGAGGCAACTGTCCAAGACAGGGGGTCTAGAAGGGCAATGGTGAGAACAAGTTTGGTGTATTTGAGGACAGGAAGGCCAGCATGGTTTGTGGGAATGGATTGATCAGGGGGAGAATGAGACTAGAGGGACTGGGGGCATTGGCCACCCCACTCCCTGCTTTGTCTTTCTCCGTCACTTGTCAGCCTCTAATGCGCTATATAGTTCACTTATCTATAGGGCTTATTTCTGTGTCTGCCGCTAGAAGGTACATTCCACCTTCTTTAGGGTAGGGACTTCTTTTTAGTTCACTGCTCTGCTGTGCTCAAGCTAGGTTTGTTGAATGAATAAATACATGAAAGACAGATAAAAGTCAGATGATGGAGGCCACAGGAGGGCCATTCTGGGCAGAGGGGATCAGAGGCACACACAGGGATGGGCACGTTGGGTAGGTAAAGGCAGCATGAACCACTCACAGCAGTGTCAGACAGAGCTAGAGGAGGGCTTCAGCCCACACTGTAGAAAGAATGACTGTGTGGGAACAGCCTGTTCCCCATGGGGCTTTTAATCCGAAGGTCTGAAACAGGGGCAGTGGTCTGATGAAGTGGAGCCAGGGGGGACACTGGCTATGTGGGAGAGCGTAGATGGACCCGTGGCCAGAGGGGAGAGCAACCCCATCTCCCAACCCTGTTAACTTCGGGCGGCGGACACAGCTCTGGGACTCAACCTCCTGTCGTCCGAGGTGTCTGCAGTGACCTACTGGCTCTGGTGTCACCGCCTTGTCTTTCCTAAGGTCACTTGACCTTCTTGTCCATCCTAGACTGTCAATGGGGCAGGAATTGTCATCCTCATTCTACAAAAGAGGGAACAGGCTGATATTTCATTAGGACTCTTAGAGGCAAGAGACAAAAGTCTAACTCGATCTGCCTGACCTCAAGCTGCTGCTCGAGTTCGGCTCCTTAGGAAACAGAGCCCAATAACACGCTTAACCTGCTCCCGCAGTGTCGTGGGGTTCGATCCCCAGCAACAGGAGTGAAGGGAAAAGGACAGCGGGGAGGAGGGGAGACAAAGGCCCGGCGCTGTGCTGCCTCCTGGGCCAGGTCTCAGCAGGCGCAGCGGTGTGCTGGGTTCAGAGGGCTGCCAGGCCAGTACAGCATCCCAATTCAGTGTGAATTCCAGATGAACAGAGTGTTTTAATATGAGTATTTTTATTTGCTGATTCTGACTTTAGTCCCACAAGATGTCTCCAGGGAGGCCATATGGAGGAGTTCACAGGGGAAAGGTGAAAGCAGAGACTTTACCTCTCGGCTCCTCCCCAAATCCCAAGTCCCACAGGTCAGAGTTTGCCCAGGGGGATGCTCACACCCCCCCTTGGTCCTGGGCTGTACCCCCTGACTCTTCTGGGCTGCCTCTAGGAGAGTCAGAGCCTCGGCCCAGTCAGGTAGGACCCGGGCCCTGAAGCTGCGGAGCCTGGCCCCTGGGTGAGGCTGGCTTTCCATTAACCATGTGATGAAGGCTGGGGCGGGATGGGGTGTGGGGGTGTCAGGGGAGAGTGTGTGCATTCAGATATCACTTGATAGAAGTGTCCCAAATTCTATCACTAAGATGTAGCCCTCGCCATCTCTGTTTTCCTGTTTTTACATAGCTTTACTCTGAGGCAGGCAATGAGTCCCCCAGCAATTCTAGACATTTCTTGTTCTATTTCCATTGGGAAAAAATGTTTCTTCCAACAGATTTGCTTCCTTCCACCCCAGGAAAGACCCAGACTTGAGAGTTATTGGCCCTAGAACTGGCCAAGGGCCTGGCCCTGAAAGGATTGCTGTGGGTGAGGGCCACAATGCAGCCTTGTGTGCTGGAAGGTTCTGGAAAGCAGCCTGTGGCTAGAGTTGTGCAAAGAGGAAGAGAATCTAGTTGAAGGTGTGGCTGTCTGTTTGTGGGTGCTCCCCCAGCCACACACGTACGCAGCTGGGTCCTCCTGGAGCACAGGGACTGTGGCTGGGTCATCTCTGTGTCCCTAGGGTTGTCCTGGCAGCTAAAGATGGATTACTTTTGAATGAATGAATGAACCAACCTTTGTTTCCTTTACACATCTAACAGAAAAGTACCTGAAGCCACCCCTGAGATTTACTTCACCCAGCAACTGACATGTAACTTCAGTCATTCCCCTATGCGTGATGAGGCCCTTTGTAAATCACTTTCACATCTGATTCCCACAATAATTCAGGGAGTTGGGGTTGCTCATACCATCTGAGAATGAGGAAATTGAGGCCCAGAGAGCTCAAGTGGAGTTGCTCAAAGGCACAGGGGCTCAGGCTGGGGAAGTACTAAGAGAGGAAGACTAGGGCGGGACAGAGGGACAGCCAGCCAGTGAGTCCTGGGTGAATAAAACTGCCAAGGGAGGAACCCTTGAGCAGAACTGGCCATGTTTAAATGGCAAACCCAAAAAGACATCAGTCATGCGAAGCCATGTCAGAATAATTCAACAGTTCACTCTGTTTTGAATTGTTTAGCCATCTGGTGAGATTTGTCAAGTGTCAAAAGGGGTGCTGGGATGCTGGGACATCGAGGTAGATCAGAGCAGGTGCTCGTCCTTGAGGAGCTTCTACATCAGAAGCAGATGAGTAAGCAGACATCAAGTAAGCGGTGTCACAGGGGTAAGGCAGGAGCCTAGCAGGTTCTAGGAAACTCGTTCTGTAAGAACAGAAGAGAGGGTGCTGGCCAGGAAAGGTGCTGCAGTGTGGCTGACCAGTGAAGGACCACACATCTCACACAGAGACACACATTTTGCTTAAAGCGTCTCTGGCTGCATACTGCAGGCCTACCTGGGGCTGTTGATAATACCTATGCAGGTTGGGCTTCTCACGGTATGAGGCTGGTTTTCCAGAGGAGCTCCTGCTGCCTGAGTACTTCAAAGAGTCCAGATGAAAGTTCTAAGGCTTTTTATGACCTAGCAGTGGAGTCACGAGGTATCACTTCCACTACATTCTACTGGTCAAACAAGACAGTAAGACCAACCCAGATTCAAAAGGACTGGAAGTAGAGTCCACATCTCAAAGGAAGGAGGAGCAAATAATTTACCACTATCCTGAATCGACCATAGTCCACCTTCTGAATACAAATTATTTCTATTTCTCCCATGTGCAAAATATACTCACCTCCTCCAAAGGACCTTAAACGTCTCATCTCAACACCTGATTGCTCATAATGGATCTTGTCATGTAAATTGGTTCCAGGCAAAGATGAGGAGCCTCAGCTATGATTCTTCAAGAACAGCTTCTTGAGTACTGTTCTTCTTGGTCTGAAAGGTCTGTGAGCTACAGACATGTTTTCTGCTCTGCACAACCCCAATAGAGTTGACAAGCATAAGATAACCAAAGTAGATATTTCTGTTGAAAAAGGGTGAAACAGGAGTGACATAGCTACCACTGGGTCATAGTGATTCTAAAATCCAGTTAGGCACATGTTGCCAGTTGTTTTATCAGGGTCCAATCCTGCTGCCTGGGAAGGGTTCTCTGCATCTCAACACCACCCTCTTGGCCCACAGGTTTCTTCTGAGTCTTCTTTCTTTTCCATAAGAAATAGCTTATGTTTGCATCTGAGTAGCCTTCTCAGTCATTGTCTTAGAAGGCTGGGACCTCACAGGTGTCTTGCTATTTTTGTGCTCTTAACTTTTCTTGTGTCCTTAGTTGCAACTTTATCTTCAAACCTGGCAATTTTGAATGGCTGCAGAAGGAGACAGAACTATCAAAATTCTTGCTCCTCAGACTATTTCCAGTTTCCCTTCCCATGGATATTCTGTGAATGGTATTTATTGAGCACTCACCATGCCCCAACACTGTTCCAGGGATCCGGGATATAGCAATGCATGAAACAGACAAAAATCCTTGCTCTGCTGTCTTTCTAACAGAGAAGATGGACAATAAGCAAATAAACAATATAAAGAGGAAAAAACAGGAGAGACAGCAAGTGAGTGTTGGGTGTAGTATTGATAGGAAGGGGAACTTCAGTTTTAATAGGGAATGCCATTCTTGCTGAAAAGATCACATTTAAGTCAAAACCAGGGAAAAGTGAGGTAGTGGCCATACAGGCCACTGAGAGAAGAGCTTTCCAGATAGAAAGAAATACAGGTGCAAAGGACTAAATTAGATGTGCACCTTCACTTTTCTTAAAACTTGTATAGTTTGAGCAGACTGATCAGATGGGACATTAGGAGGACATAAGGTCAAAGAGGTATCTGGGTGTCAGATGAGGAAGGACCTTCTGTTTGTAAAGCCTTAATTTTTACTCTGACCTTTGGGAAGTACAGTATAGTATACTTTGAGCAGGAGAATGACATGGTTTGACATTTTTATAGAATTACTTGTTGCCGTGTTGACAACAGATGGGATGAGGTGGGAACAGGACACCAGGGTTGAAATATTCCAGATGAGAAATGATGGAGGTTCAGACCAGGTGGTAGTGGCAAACATAGTAAGAAGTCACATTCTGGATATCATTTGAAGGCTGTGGATAAAGGTTACAAGAGAGGACTTGAATGAGTTTCCTAGAACTGCTGTGACATATTACCACAAGTCTGGTGGCGTAACAACAGAAATGTATTCTCCCAAATAGAAAAGTTCAAAATCAATACTCCTTTTTTTTTTGGTGGCGGGGGGAGGGTTCTCTTTCAGCTTCTGGAAGCTGTCAGCATTCTTTGGCTTGTGGCTACTCCAGTCTTTGACTCTTATCTTCACATGGATTTCTCTGTATCTTTGTACTCTATGTTTATGTAAGGACATTGGATTTAGGGCCCACCTGGATAATCCAGGATAATTTTATCTGAAGATTCTTAATTACAAAGTAAATACCCTTTTATCAAATCAGATCACATCCATAGTTCCAGGAGGTGGGCATATGTTTTGGGGGATCACTGTTCAACCCCCTACAGGAGTCAAGAATGATTCCAAAATTTTTGAACCAGGCAAAAAGTGAAGTTTGCATGTACCAGGACAGGAAAAGACTATGAGAAGAGCATTTTTTTGAAGATGGAGATAAAGTTAATGTGTTCAGATGGGGCTGGTGCCTAGTAGGGTGTCTTACCGTCCTAAGGGCTCTACAGGGTACAGCTTTATTGTGTCCCTTTTGACACTAAGCTCAGAGAGCCTTGAGTTCGTATTCCATTCTCTTGGACTCTCTCTTCTGTCAGACAAAGTGTTCAATAATTCTAATACACCTCTGTATCTCTTATTACCCTGCTACACAATTGGTGCAGTCATTTTCAATTCACTAAAAGGTCACACATTGGCATTAGACAAGTGTTCCCACCCCCACTCTACCACTTACCTGGGGCTAGGTCAACTGACCTTTACTGCTCTCAGTTCCCTATTTGCAAAATTGTGAAAATAATCTTTCCTTAAGTGATTGAAGTAAGGACGAATGGAGATGTTCCAAAGGTATATACAGCAGAGGTGCACAATAGGTGCTCGGTAAATATGGGCGCCCTTCTTCATCCCACTGTGAGTTTGTCAACGACTGTCTTGTCTCCCAGTGCTGAGATTTCTGCGAGGGAAAGCCTGTTCCTAGAGCAAGCTTTGCTGATCCTGAAGGGCTCTGAGCACACAGTAGGACGACTCGGTTGACTGATCAGCCCCTTCTGGAGAAGGACGCAGGAAGGGCCAGTCTACCACATTCTCTGTCCCCTGGCATTTGTTATTCTGGGGGAACGGAGAATGGCTGATACGGGTTTGTGGGTTCGACATGGCGCCGTCCTGCTCCTCCTAGAGCCTCAAAGATGGCAGCAACCAGCTGGGGGAAGACATGTTTTTACCCCGTGACTCAAGTCGAGGCCTGAGGCGTCGGAACGTGACGCAAGGTTGAGGCGGGGCTCTTCCCCCGCACCCGTGGCGTCAAGCGTCTCGTGACAGGTACTTCCGCTCGGGGTGGTGGCGGTGGCGGAAGTGAGAGCGGGGCCGGAGTCTTGGCCTTAAAGCCGGAGGCGGCGGCGGTAGCGGCAGCGGTGGTGTTTAAGCCTTGGAGAGGGCCGAAGAGTCCGCTGGCGCCGGAACGTGGACTTCTCCTCTGCCCCGCACCTCTCTTGAATCTTCTCCTCGGCGGGAGCCCTCGCGACGCGCCCGGCCCGGAGCCCCCAGCGGAGCGGCCGCGGTAAGCCGCGGGCCCAGCCCGGCCGGTGGCCTGGCCCCATCCCCCTCCCCAGCCCCTCGTCGCCGGGGTCTTGCTTCGCACCTATGGTGATAGGCCTCGCGAGGAAACGACGCGTCGCTCAGGGCGCAGGGGTAGGCCCGGGCCGCGCCCGCCAGGGAGAGGTCAGAGGTGCCGGGTGTGACCTCTGGCCGTGGCGCCGACCCGGGGACGCCTTGTTTACGGGTAGCGTCAAGACCGGAGACCCTGGAGGGTCGTCCGAGTTGGGTGGCTGCTGGGCACCGGGGGCCGTGCGCCGCGGCGGGACGCGCTAGCCCGTTGAGTTCCTTTGGAGCGGCGAGCCGGAGGGTGCAGGAGTCGACGCCACCCGCTGCCGAGTCGGGGAACGCCGGCCAGGCTCCCCGACCGTAAGCGCAGCGCTGATAGGCTCCCGGAGCTAAGCCACGGTTCCCATCAGTCTGTTCACTTGAACAGCTTGACCCTGTTAGTGAAATAGTTTCCCTGTTGGCAACTGAGTCAAGGCAGTGAGTCAGGTCACGTGCACTGGGTTCGTCTCGAATAGTATACATGTGTGACGCCTCTGGCTCTGGGACACAGGGAGCTTTTTGTCATAACCTTGTTACGCTCAATGCTGAAAGAAGTTTACAAACTTACTAGGAGATAGTGGTTGGCTGTAGAGCTGTGTTTGAATTCCCACCGCGCCGGGGCCTCTTACTGCATTCAGTTCGGGCGTGATATATAGTAGTTTATGGAAGTGGAAAGCAGAATAATAGTAGCAGACATTTGAGCATTTATTGTATGTTGGGCAGAGTGGCAAGACCTTTGCATAAATTATGTTTAATTCTCAGAGCAACCGGCTAAAGAACCATTACTGTGCCCCATCAGAGAACAGAGAGGTTAAGTCACTTGTCCAAGGTCACACAGCTAATAAGTTATGGAGTGGATATTCAAGCCCCAGGCTGTTAGACTCCAGAGCACTGTACTCAGCCTCCGGGTTGAACTGCTCACTGATGCTCCTGAAGCTTGTGATCTTTCACCAGCTGGTATCTACTTCCTGCCTTTCTTTATTAGTGATGTCATTTGAAAGCCTCTTCTGATAACACCAGTTCTACCTTAAATGCAAGATAGTCTGTTTGCAGTTTTGACTTGTAACACATCTTTTTTGTAGTGTTGTGCCGATAAATTAGGAGGTCTAGAATTATAGCAAAGTACTTCAAGTTTAAAAATTTTTGTTACCTTAATCTTTTGTCATGTGTTAGGTCTGGCAGTTCTGCAACGTAAACCTTTTAAAAATCTTAGTACATGGCCTGCCAGCCAAGCCAGTTGGTTCTTTGCTGTTGAAAATACTCGATCTTCTCTTTGGATTCCAGAAGAACAGGCTCTTGTCCTTTACTTGTGACTTAAGCAGCTGATTAGCCGCATGACTTCTCATCCGTGGATTAATAGAGTCTACTATTAGTGTGTTTTCCTCTTCAGACTTGGGAGGGTTTGTTCAGATTTGAGTCTAAGAACTGGAAAGTGAGTTGCGAGAACTTCCCCTGAAGATATTATCCCAGGTAAAGCTTAGTGCTCACAATTCTGTTCTAATTTTTTTTTCTTTTTAACTTTGCTGCCCTGCCTGATATAGTTAAGTGAGTAATAAGCACATTAGCCTGAAATAATGTTTGAGTTTAGAGGAGAGTAATGGTGAGCACCTTTTCACTCATTCAGATGTTTTGAGTGTCCACCATGTATCAGGCATTGCTGGGTATTGACTCAGGGAGATAGACATGGTTCCTGGCCTAAAGGAATTTAAAAATGGTATGTGGTCATGGCCAGGAATTCTGTTGTGGAATGGCTTGGTGGTAGAACTTGAGGTTTTAGGAAAAGGAGTTATTTCTCATCTGCGCAGGTGAAACTGTAGTAATCCAGATAGTTTGGTGTTAGGCTAACTTGAAGGTTTTGTTCATATTAACAACAGTATTTGCTTGGTTCATTCTTGAAGAGAGTACAGAAGCTAATGTTACAGTTTCTAATTGATCATGTCTTTTGAAGAGTAACCTTCAACGCTAAACTTGTTTCTCCTTTTGCTGTAGAGGCATTCATTTGCTCAAGAGGGGGTTCATGTCACCGCCGTTTTATATTGCAAATGTTAGTTGCCGCAGTGCTCTTTGAGCAAAGGCGCATTTGGCATGCTGGATTTTCTTCTTTAACCGACAAAGAAAGTTAAATGTAGTGCTTACCAGTCACAGTACCAGGACCATTCTAGAGAAAACCCTGTACCACCCCATCTTCTACAGCTGTTCCTTAAAACAATTCCTTTCTTTGAAAGGAGATGTGAGTTTTGCATTTGTGGTAGAACTTCATGAGTCCACAAACCAAAGGGTGGAATGTAAGAGAAAGCACTCTAAAAATAGTTTATTAGTGTGTTCCTCCAGGTAATTGTTAGCAACCATTTGGGGCCTTTTTTTTTCTCCCCTACTCTTGTTGAGCCTAAGTTCCCAAGACAGATAATCAAAGAGCATTGTTTTATAACAGTGTAGCTTTGAATCCGATTCCTGACCCCACCACCAAGTGAGGTTTGGGTGACTTGATTAGCTTTTAGTAAATTTCCAAAGAGATCTGCACTACTGACATGTTTGCCCTTTCATTTGGCATTAACCTTTCTATGCAAAAGTGTAGCAAACCCAGACCACACACATGTGACAGTTTTCTTAGGCACTGATCTTCCCTGAAACTTGACATAAATATTTACCATTATTCCTATGATAAATTGTCTAACCCTTCTTTTGCATAATTCAACAAATGTGGCTGAGAAGAAGGGTTTGACCAGATACTGGACTGGGAGATCCAGGCAAGCTGGGATTTCTGGGGAGCTGAGGAGGAGCAGTCTTCCCAAGTACAGCTCAACAGTGGCTCCCCTTGGCACTGACATCATCCTCTGAAGGGGACTGAAGCTCTAGAAATTAACTGCTGCCCCACCCCCATTTCATGGCTACAGTCTTGCTGTTGATACTTAACCTCCCACGGAAGGCTGCCTTTGTATTCTCAAGCATCCTTTCCTGTGTATTATCAAACACTTACCTGCTAATGCCGTCTAATAGAGCTCTTTGCTTCTCTCTCTGCAGTTGGCTGCAGAAACATTTTGCAGTGTGTTGTTCTCTTTGATTATTCGCTCTAACATCTTCCATCTATTTTCTGCTTCTTCCTTCCCACATTTGGCATCAAACAGAAAAAAAAGATAGTTTGCATTGTTTTTTTAGAATCACCACTTCTCAGTGGCTATCCTGGTCAGAGTGTAATTGTGAATTGAAGGGAAAAGTGTTGTGATGGGTGAAATCAGAACAGGCTTTTTAGCAGTGTCTCTGACTAGTTTCAATTTTTAGTACTCCAGGCTGTGATTTCAGAAACAAATTAAGAATAGAACTTGCACAATGTCTCCGCGGGGGAGGAAGAAAGCTTGGGAGTTGATCCCAGTGGTGACATACAGCGCTGGCCTTGTTCATCCACCCAGAGATGCAGTACTTCATGCAGGGGGCCTCTCTCCCGCCTTGCCTGGGGCTCTCTGTCTTGGTGATGTCATCACTGCCGTGGAGGGCAATCGACCATTCTCGTGTCCATTTCTTGGTTGCCTAGGACTGCTTGCTATTGGGACAGGGCAAATCTGAGGATGCATATTAACGGAGGCCTGGGACCTGGGACCTTTCAAGTAAAGATGGCTTGTTCTTGCTACTGGCTTTCATGGGTTTACCCGGCTCAATTTGGGAATCCTTTAAAAATTACATTGTGAAGTAAATAGTTACATCATTGGTTCCAGTCTTCTTATGCAATTTTAATTTAAAATGTTTATTAGTTTGATAAATTTTTTGAGTTATTTGAGAGTACATCGCAAAGCCACTATGAATTACCCTTTAATAAAACCCAGCGATAACAGTATAGACTTTAAGAAAAACAGTGTCTCTTACATACAGTATTTATTTTAGTCAGTCAGCCAATAATTCCCCATGGTCTTAGATGTCTGGAGACCCCCGAAATAACAATGGGTCATCTGGGCAGCCCACATGTTAAGAGCCACTCTTAAATCCTTTTACCCTGTGCCATTCAGTTGACGATTGTTAAGGAGCATTAATGTTTTGTAGAAACTGCCCTACACAACATTTGTCTTTGAGACTGAGACTGATGCGCTACCTATTGCGCTAATGAGGCACCTACACAATATTTGTCTTTAAATGCTTCTTAATATTTGTTCATTACACAGATTGCTTACAGTTTACATAGAATTTCATTTGGCGCTCAAAACAACTGTGTAGACTTAGAGGGTGATCATTTATTTCTGCCTGAGAAAGCTGAGGCTGGGTGCCCACCTGGCCCGGCTACTAGAGTGCTAATCTAGGTCTGCTGAGACACGGTCAGTGCTCTTCCTGATGCGCACCGGCCTTTTTGATTATATGTGATTTAATATAAAGATCTCAGCATTTGACTCCTTATACAAATGTATTTCTTCCACTACCGATTATTTAAAATGATGTTACTCATTTGCTGATTGTTAAACGAGTCAATTCTTTTTTAAAAAGCTAGGAAAATACAGAAGTGAAAAGAGGAAAAATTTGGTTCACTACCCAGAGAAGACCAAAGCGTTAACTGATTGTTTTCTTCCTATGAGTGTATATGTTAATGCCTTCCTTTAATGAAATTCAGTTAAAAAAATATGGTGTGGGAATTTATGTGTAGAGGGGGCTGGGCACTCTTGGATCCTTTGGC